TCTATTCTATTCTATTCTATTCTATTCTATTCTATTCTATTCTATTCCATTCCATTCCATTCCATTCCATTCCATTCCATTCTATCTTCCTTCCATGCATTCATGTTCCTTTATCAGATCATTTCATTTTGGATTTTTCAATGTTTGAATTCTTAAAGCATTTAGTCATCTTCATTTATTATTGAGAAAACACATATCCACACATGTATATAATAAATGATACTTGATTATTTTGGATCAATTAAATTGGAAGCTCTAGATATAACAGATTGATTAATATGGAAGCTCCAGATATAAATGTAAATCTAGCCATGGTGAATTGGCTTTACATGCAGCACTAAATCATCTCATTTTTTTAAACTAAGCTTAACACATATGTGAACCTAGCCATTGTGGTTTATAAACCATGGCTTATGGCTCAACAAAATGTATAAATCAGGTTACTATAATCTATTTCATACATACTGCCATTCCAGTTTACATACCATAGCTTACTGAACAAATCATTGTTAACTCACTGGCATCTTTCCTCAGAGAGAGTAAGAAAGGGAACAGGAGGTTAAATTCCCAGCTTGTATTACACAAGAGGAAAGTGTTAACTGACAAAACAGAATACCCATGGTTAAAACAAATGATTGTTTAGCATAATGGGTGAATCCAGAACTATCACTTATATAAGGCTTTATTATGGGCCAAACCAGATGATTAAGTGAAAAAGGAAAAATTCCATCCTACTGGAAACAAACCTTCACCTTAATCATCTCGATACTTAGTGCTTAGATCATACCACATACATATTTTCTCTTCGTAATGATCTCCTTTCTTAAAAAACAGGATTTCCCCCTTTTTCTAAAAAAAGAAATGATGCGAAAATCTTGGCACAGTTTCTTTAATTTCTCAATTAATAAGCAGCATTCCACTGAAATGGAAACTTTTGAAACTTCTAAAAATCAATAGTGCAGATCATTTAAAATATATAGGACACTTAAGTGTTCATCATTCTTATAATTTAAATCCAGACTCTAGCTGGATTTTTCATGAGGCATTTATCTCTCAATCTGAAATAATAAAGAACTAACTTACTGGTTCATTCTGCCAGACAAATAATTCGGAATCACACTTATTTATTTATTAAATTTATTTCTCACCCACCTCATTTCAAAACAACTCTGGGCAGCTGACAGTGTTAAAAGCTTTATACAGGTAGTCCTTGACTTACAACAATTCTTTAAGTGACCGTTCGAAGTTACAATGGAACTGAAAAAAAGTCCCCTTGTATGACCATTTTTCACACAACCCTTTCAGCATCCCCATGATCAAAATTCAGACGCTTGGCAACTGACTCATATTTATGACGGTTGCAGTGTCCTTGTGTCATGCAACGCCTTTTGCAACCTTCTCACAAGCCAAGTCAATGGGGAAGCTAGATTCACTTAACAATGGTGTTACTAACTTAACACCTGCAGTGATTCACTTATCAACTGTGGCAAGGAAAGTCGTAAAATGGAGCAAAACTCACTTAACAAATATCTCACTTAGTAACATAAGGTTGTGACTCAATTGTGGTCATAAGTCAAGGACTACCTGTAATCAGAAAAGACAAATATTTCTAAAACAATGAACATGTAACTTACATAGTCAAAACAGAACTATAGTTAAGAGATGGGGAAGGAAATAGCAGGAAGCCTGGGGGTGGGGAACAGGTGGGATTGCTTCTTAATTCATCAACCACCTCCAGCGTCATGTTCCTACATTGGATCCCCAAGCCATCTGGCAGACCCAGGTCTTCAGGCTCTCACCTCAGGGGGTAAAATATTCCAAAGGGCAGGAGCCATGCAGAGAAGGCCATTTTACTGGACCCCACCAGCCAAAAATCCTTGGCCAATGGGATCTGCAACATGCTTCCTCTGCCAATCCTAGTGAATTGAGATGGTTCCTCAAGTGACCTGGACCCATGCCATGTAGGGTAAAGGTAATAACCAACACCTTGAATTGCACCCAGAGGCCAATTGGCAGCCTGTGCAGCTCACAGAGGAGTGGTGTAACATGGGCCACCCTGAGGACCTCAAATACTCCCTGCATCACCATACTGTGTGCCATGTGAGGCTTCCAAATGCTCTTCAAGGGCAGTTCCATGTAGAGCACATTGCAGTTGTCCAAAGGACCTGAGAATTGAATAACTGAGCATAGGGACTCCTGATCCAGGAAAGTGTTGTGGCCTGCAAGCTGCTAGCAGAGTTAGTTGCAGATTTGGATGATGAGGAAGTTGGGGAAGACCGTGGGCTGGTTCTGGCACCTGGAGAAAGCTCTGATGGATGCTCAGCATCAGACACAGAGATAGAGTCAGGGCCATCCAACATTTCCCAGCCAGAGAGGCAGCTGCCCTTGGAATCAGAGATGAGTGAGGAGGAGGAATAGCTGGGGTCTGTTCCAGATTCACATATGCACAGAGCTGATAGGAGAGGTGAACAGCGGCTCAGGAAAGCAAAACAAATGTGGATGCTGAACGGCCCCTCCCTGGCTGGGGAATAAATAGGAGGAAAGTGAGTTGGGTTGGTTGTCACAGACAACCATTCACATTTTTGGAAAATTTGCTCCTTGTGTATTTCGTGTGACAAAGACTGCCTTGCCAGAACTGAGGTTTGTCTATTTCTCTGTTTGAGCTCATTTAATTTGCAGCTTCCCGGCTGGGAGCTCACAACCTTGCATTTATCATAACAAGCTGATAAGGAGTATTGTTTCAGTTAACTTCTTGCAGGAGGCTTGCCTGGACTTTCTATTGGGGGATGCAGTTAATTCCTAATGTATAAATAAAGAGGGTTTTTTTTCTTTGTGGAGTCTGTTTCTTGCTTCTGCGAAGGCTGGGTCAGAACAGAAAGGCTACAACAGGTGCACAACACCAGTTGCAAAGGCTCTCCTAGCTATGATTGCCACCCACTCTTTGAGCAGGAGTCAGGAGTCACTCCAAGTTACAGACCACATCTGATTGGGACAGTGCCACTCCACCCAGAACTAAGTTAGTTAAAGTCCTGGATCTTGAAACTCCATGCACCCAAAGCCATTCAGTCTTGCTGAAGCCTGTGGTCCCCCAACCAGGTCCCCCAACCAGCCTCCAGGCACTGTGAGAAGCCAACAACAACATACCTGTACAGCCAGGATGGAGATCAAAAGTGGAGTATCATCAGCTTACTGATGATACCTCAGCCCCTGGTATGATCTCACCCAGCAGCTTCATATAGATATTAAAAAGGGGTCAAGAGAGTACCGACCCCTCTGGTAATACCATGGAGGAGTGGTCATGGGTTAGACTTCTCCCTATCAGTACCAATTGGGACAGGCCTTAGAGATAAGAGCCAAACCAGCACAAAACTGTCCTTCAGCCA